ATTCCACACACACATTTCGACCGACGGGATAATTGTAACTGAACAGGTACCATGAAGCCAGTAAGGAGGCAGCCCTCACTCCCCCGTACACAGTGACTGTGACACCCACACAACACCTCCTTGGTCTCCAAGACAGGCTGTCTCTCACGCTGGTAATGGAACTACACACACACACACACACACACACACACACACACACACACACACACACACACACACACACACACACACACACACACACACACACAGTCCTCTACATTCACCTCAACTTGTTTATTATTAAATACTGCCAAGTAGCGCTACATTTATACCTATAGCATAGAAGTATGCGTTCTCTCACTCAACACAACAGTTTGCTTGAACATTATGTACAAATTACACCAGCTGGTTTTAATTTATGTCACGCCAATCCACATATGCTTCGCCAATCGACCAATTGTAAAACATTGTATAGGGCTGAGGCACTGACGCCTGACCTAAAAGAACATATAGGTCAGTACTCCGCCACTCGACCCTTGAGAGTCCGTCTTCACAACGACTAACATTCACTCAACCAATCACATCTTCCTTAACGCTAAACCAATGAGCTGCCGAGGTCTTGCAAGCCCCCTATAGATCTCTACCAATAAGAAAGCCTCTCAGTACAGATACCCCCAATCCTATAGGCCAATCACTGAAGTCGACTCACTGTATGACTAGCGCCTCAATCAGTTAATGTTGTTGATCCAATCACAGTGAAATTTTCCAGGCAGAGTGCTGGGAGGAAGTTTGAGCCAAGAGAAGTTTGGTAAAAGCCAGGAGGGCGCCGTGGCCTGCCCGCCCGCTGGGGACAAAACCCTCCCCAACTTCATCCATTATGTGAGAATTTTTCCACATCTCGTATTTGAGCAAGAAATTAAGGAGTCGACTATACTAACTGTGATAAAGTTAAGTCAGCCGTCCCCAACGGCTGTCCGGAACGTCCGGTCTCTTGAGCGTTCCCGACGTCACTAAACTAATGTACTAAATTACCCGAACCTAACCTAACCGAGGACCCACGGAGAGAAAACTGGACATCACGTCACCTTTGGCCACCGCCGTGATGCTTAGTGCGTTAGTTCAAGTTTTAGTTCACGAGGACAGGTTGTTTACGGAACACCGGACACTTGTGTGTAGCCTCGCGGTGCTCTGTACCACGAGGGTACAAGCTGACTCTGTATCACCAGGCTACAGGCTGGCTCTGTACCACCAGGGTACGTGAAGAGCGAATAACAGCCTCCTGCAGGCAGCGGTGACAACACCTCCTACCCCCCTTCTTGAGGTTATCTTGAGATGATTTCGGGGCTTTTTAGTGTCCCCGCGGCCCGGTCCTCGACCAGGCCTCCACCCCCAGGAAGCAGCCCGTGACAGCTGACTAACTCCTGAGTACCTATTTACTGCTAGGTAACAGGGGCATTCAGGGTGAAAGAAACTTTGCCCATTTGTTTCTGCCTCGTGCGGGAATCGAACCCGAGCCACAGAATTACGAGTCCTGCGCGCTATCCACCAGGCTTTCGTGGCCCCTGCAGGCAACAACTACAACACCCCCTACCCCCCTGCAGGCAGCAGCTACAATACCCCCGACCCCCTGCAGGCAACAGCTACAATACCCCCGACCCCCTGCAGGCAGCAGCGACAACACCCCCTACCCCCCCTGCAGGCAGCAGCTACAACACCCCCTACCCCCTGCAGGCAGCAGCGACAACACCCCCTACCCCCCTGCAGGCAACAGCTACAACACCCCCAACCCCCCTGCTGGCACCAACTACAACACCCCCTACCCCCTGCAGGCAACAGCTACAACACCCCCTACCCCCCTGCAGGCAACAGCTACAACATCCCCTACCCCCCTGCAGGCAACAGCTACAACACCCCCTACCCCCCTGCAGGCAGCAGCTACAACACCCCCTACCCCCATGCAGGCAACAGCTACAACACCCCCTACCCCCCTGCAGGCAACAGCTACAACACCCCCTACCCCCCTGCAGGCAACAGCTACAACACCCCCTACCCCCCTGCAGGCAACAGCTACAACACCCCCTACCCCCCTGCAGGCAACAGCTACAACACCCCCTACCCCCCTGCAGGCAGCAGCTACAACACCCCCTACCCCCTGCAGGCAACAGCTACAACACCCCCTACCCCCCTGCAGGCAGCAGCTGCCTACACAATCCTCCATCCACTGCGGGGAGGGAGAGAGCAGAGGCGAGTTTGCACGAGTTTTCCCGCGTTAATGAGACAAGCGTGAGACGCTCGTGCAGTGTTACCACACACCTGCGTGTCGTGCAGGGGTGCTACAGTGTTACCACACACCTGCGTGTCGTGCAGGGGTGCTACAGTGTTACCACACACCTGCGTGTCGTGCAGGGGTGCTACAGTGTTACCACACACCTGCGTGTCGTGCAGGGGTGCTACAGTGTTACCACACACCTGCGTGTCGTGCAGGGGTGCTACAGTGTTACCACACACCTGCGTGTCGTGCAGGGGTACTACAGTGTTACCAGATATACACTTTATTAGAATGAACAGTTGACCGAGTCCCAGCCCACAGCCTGACTGGGCCTCTTTAACAGCGATAAATTCCAGGTACTCAGGTACGGTAAAAATTAAAACCTTAAACATAATACAGGGTACAAAACACAATCAAATGTGCCCATAGTAGGAAAGCAACATGTAAAGGATTTGGGAATAATGATACATAACGACTTAAAGTTTAGGGAGCGTAACCAAGCAAATATTGCGGCAGCCAGAAAAATGATCGGATGGATTACAAGAATTTTCAAATCCAGGGATCCCATCACAATGGTTGTACTCTTCAAATCATTTGTGCTGTCCCGTTTTGGGTACTGCTCAGTACTCACTTCCCCCTTCAGAGCAGGAGAGATTGCTGAAATAGAGGGAATACAGAGAACATATACGGCACGCATAGACACGATAAAGCACCTAAATTATTGGGATCGTCTCAAAGCTCTCCAAATGTACTCACTAGTAAGACGACGAGAGAGATACCAAATAATATACACCTGGAAGATACTGGAGGGTCAGGTCCCAAATCTGCACAGTAAAATAACAACGTACTGGAGTGAACGATATGGAAGAAAATGCAGAATAGAACCAGTGATGAGCAGAGGTGCCATAGGCACAATTAGAGAACACTGTATAAACATCAGAGGTCCGCGGTTGTTCAACATCCTCCCAGCGAATATAAGAAACATTGCCGGACCAACCGGGCTGTGGTGGGTATGTGGGCCTGCGGGCCGCTCCAAGCAACAGCCTGGTGGACCAAACTCTCACAAGTCAAGCCTGGCCTCGGGCCGGGCTAGGGGAGGAGAAGAACTCCCAGAACCCCATCAACCAGGTATCAACCACGTACATATACACAAAATATAAACCCACGTTCACCCCCCCCCCCCCCAAAAAAAAATAAGAATTGAAATATGAAAACAAGCCTTAGGTCAATATGTTAAGCTCTGGGTCCCGGCTCTTGCCTATGAGTTACCGAGTGGGAGTGTGCCTGTCTTTCTTTGCCTGAGTGTGTGAATACGGGCATGAGTGAGTGCGTATCCGTGCGTGCGTGTTTGTTATGGTGGTCTAGACATGTCACTATAGAGCATTAATATTATTACGAAATAATAACTTACAAACATATATATACCACGAGTATTATATACATTTATTATTCTGAATATAAAAAGGCAGTGACCTATGCACTAACTTGTGAGTTTACATAATAATAATGTTCAAGATAATTCTTAGTTTATATGTTTATTAACATCAAAGAGATAAAAGCTAATATTTAACAGTGTTTTAGGTAGAGGCTTAAAACCTGGCAATTATACATTAGTTCTATAATTTAATAGTATATATATATTGGTTTAATAAGTGAAAACTACTACCATATACACACAGTATTAAGTGAGACCTATTACTATAGTGTTAAGTGAGACCTATTACTATAGTATTAAGTGAGAACTATTACTATAGGGTTAAGTGAGAACTATTACTATAGTGTTAAATGAGAGCTGTTACTATACGGTGTCAAGTGGAATAAAAAAGAATAAATGTGAACATCTCAACTTTAATGTTACATTATTATTAAAAAATAATTCTACACGAGCAATATTTATGTTGGCATGACTGTCATTATAATTTGATGTAAAGCGCATGTGGAAATTGTAAGGATTAATGTCGGTAATATTTACTGGTGAGTGTGTACTCACCTAGTTGTGTTAGCGGGGGTTGAGCTCGGGCTCTTTGGTCCCGCCTCTCAACTGTCAATCAACTGGTGTACAGGTTCCCGAGCCTATTGGGCTCTATCATATCTACATTATAAACTGTGTATGGAGTCAGCCTCCACCACATCACTGCCTAATGCGTTACATTTGTTAACTACTCTGACACTATAAAAAGATTTTTCTAGTGTCTCTATAGACCATCTGGGTACTCAGTTTCCACTTGTGTCCCCCTAGGGCTTGCTTCCCCTGTATTAACTGTCTTCATCTACCCTATCAATTCCACTCAAAATCTTGTATGTGGTGATCATATCTCCCCTTAACTCTTCTGCCTTCCACCGACGTGAGGTATAGTTCCCGTAGTCTCTCCTCGTAGCACATACCCCTCAGCTCAGGTACTAGTCTGGTGGCAAACCTCTGAACCTTACCCGTGTAAGCTTGGTAGGAGGCTTGTCTCTATTACATGAAGCACAGTTAGTCTGTCTGCTGTCCTATGCACAGAAGATTGGCTTCACCAATCACACTCAACTCATCTCTGGGTCGGTCATGTACCCGACCCACCACACGAAAGTGGAGGGGCGCGAAGCAAGAGCTTGAGCACGGGGTCTGGAATAAGGGCTGCTTGAGCACGGGGTCAGGAGTAAGGGCTGCATGAGCACGGGGTCTTTAGTAAGGGCTGCTTGAGCACGGGGTCTGGAATAAGGGCTGCTTGAGCACGGGGTCTGGAGTAAGAGCTGCATGAGCACGGGGTCAGGAGTAAGGGCTGCTTGAGCACGGGGTCTGGAGTAAGAGCTGCATGAGCACGGGGTCTGGAGTAAGGGCTGCATGAGCACGGGGTCTGGAGTAAGAGCTGCATGAGCACGGGGTCTGGAGTAAGAGCTGCATGAGCACGGGGTCAGGAGTAAGGGCTGCATGAGCACGGGGTCTGGAGTAAGGGCTGCATGAGCACGGGGTCTGGAGTAAGAGCTGCTTGAGCACGGGGTCTGGAGTAAGAGCTGCATGAGCACGGGGTCTGGAGGAAGAGCTGCATGAGCACGGGGTCTGGAGTAAGGGCTGCATGAGCACGGGGTCTGGAGTAAGAGCTGCTTGAGCACGGGGTCTGGAGTAAGAGCTGCATGAGCACGGGGTCTGGAGGAAGAGCTGCATGAGCACGGGGTCTGGAGTAAGAGCTGCTTGAGCACGGGGTCTGGAGTAAGAGCTGCATGAGCACGGGGTCAGGAGTAAGGGCTGCTTGAGCACGGGGTCTGGAGGAAGAGCTGCATGAGCACGGGGTCTGGAGTAAGAGCTGCTTGAGCACGGGGTCTGGAGTAAGAGCTGCATGAGCACGGGGTCAGGAGTAAGGGCTGCTTGAGCACGGGGTCTGGAGGAAGAGCTGCATGAGCACGGGGTCTGGAGTAAGAGCTGCATGAGCACGGGGTCAGGAGTAAGGGCTGCTTGAGCACGGGGTCAGGAGGAAGAGCTGCATGAGCACGGGGTCTGGAGTAAGAGCTGCATGAGCACGGGGTCTGGAGTAAGGGCTGCTTGAGCACGGGGTCTGGAGTAAGGGCTGCTTGAGCACGGGGTCTGGAGTAAGGGCTGCTTGAGCACGGGGTCTGGAGTAAGAGCTGCATGAGCACGGGGTCTGGAGGAAGAGCTGCTTGAGCACGGGGTCTGGAGTAAGGGCTGCTTGAGCACGGGGTCTGGAGTAAGAGCTGCATGAGCACGGGGTCTGGAGGAAGAGCTGCTTGAGCACGGGGTCTGGAGTAAGGGCTGCTTGAGCACGGGGTCTGGAGTAAGGGCTGCTTGAGCACGGGGTCTGGAGTAAGAGCTGCATGAGCACGGGGTCTGGAGGAAGAGCTGCTTGAGCACGGGGTCTGGAGTAAGAGCTGCATGAGCACGGGGTCTGGAGGAAGAGCTGCTTGAGCACGGGGTCTGGAGTAAGAGCTGCATGAGCACGGGGTCTGGAGGAAGAGCTGCTTGAGCACGGGGTCTGGAGTAAGAGCTGCATGAGCACGGGGTCTGGAGGAAGAGCTGCTTGAGCACGGGGTCTGGAGTAAGGGCTGCTTGAGCACGGGGTCTGGAGTAAGGGCTGCTTGAGCACGGGGTCTGGAGTAAGGGCTGCTTGAGCACGGGGTCTGGAGTAAGGGCTGCTTGAGCACGGGGTCTGGAGTAAGAGCTGCATGAGCACGGGGTCTGGAGGAAGAGCTGCTTGAGCACGGGGTCTGGAGTAAGGGCTGCTTGAGCACGGGGTCTGGAGTAAGAGCTGCATGAGCACGGGGTCTGGAGGAAGAGCTGCTTGAGCACGGGGTCTGGAGGAAGAGCTATTTAATATATGATGCGAAGGAGTTTGAGGCAGGATTTGTTATAGAATTCCTGGCCAACAGTGGTGGACCAGCCACCTGGCCACCAGTGGTGGACCAGCCACCTGGCCACCAGTGGTGGACTAGCCACCTGGCCACCAGTGGTGGACCAGCCACCTGGCCACCAGTGGTGGACCAGCCACCTGGCCACCAGTGGTGGACCAGCCACCTGGCCACCAGTGGTGGACTAGCCACCTGGCCACCAGTGGTGGACCAGCCACCTGGCCACCAGTGGTGGACTAGCCACCTGGCCACCAGTGGTGGACCAGCCACCTGGCCACCAGTGGTGGACTAGCCACCTGGCCACCAGTGGTGGACCAGCCACCTGGCCACCAGTGGTGGACCAGCCACCTGGCCACCAGTGGTGGACTAGCCACCTGGCCACCAGTGGTGGACCAGCCACCTGGCCACCAGTGATGGACCAGCCACCTGGCCACCAGTGATGGACCAGCCACCTGGCCACCAGTGATGGACCAGCCACCTGGACAATTTCTTTATTCAAACTTATTCATGTCAGTTCTGCAATTTGTTTAGTCTTTTAAAGTCCACTGAAGAAATCAACTAAATGTCGCCTTTATTGTCTTGGAAGACGTCGAGAGCTGGTGACAGATGGCGGCACCATCACTTCCCCCCTCCCCCCCACTTCCCCCCCCCTTCTCCTCCCCCCCAGCGACAGGTCGTGTGAAGCGACCGTCTGACAAACTTTGGTCGTAGTGCAGGGAAAAAACTGATGTAGCAGAGCTCACAAGTTCCCCCAAATCCCCGCACAAACCTCCAGCTTTACAGTCCTCCCCCCACCCCCCCTCATATGGTACAGTGGTTCCCCCTCCTTTACATGGTACTGTGATCTCCTCTCCTCACCACTGACAGCCTACGACCTCGTCCACTGTCAGCCTCTCGTAGTCATCCATGTAGACAGTTCGTGTAGAGTTGTGTGAAAAGCACACCAGTCTGGAACTGCCCCCCCAAAATAATAATCCGGCCTACACGCTTGGCACTACGGCCCTCACACCAGGCACTCCCTCCCCCTCCACGCCTGGATCTCTGCCCCTCTCCCACGCTTGGCACTCCCCCTCCTCGCCTGGCACTCCCCCCCCCCCACGCCTGGCACTCCGGCCCCCTGCGTATACATGAACGCCCAGTTCATTTAATTCAGCAGAGCAGCACGATCTCATATTCCAAAAATTTCCGGAATTCCCAATATAATCCACCAGCAAGCATTCCCCCTTGAAGGACTCCTATTTCCGTTCCGGGGAAGAGCTGTGAGTGCGTGATGGGCGGTGAGGTGTGGTGAGGGGTGGTGAGGGGCGGTGAGGGGGGAGGGTGAGGTATTGTGAGGGGGGAGGGGGAGGTATTGTGAGGGGGGAGGGGGAGGTATTGTGAGGGGGGAGGGGGAGGTATTGTGAGGGGAGGGGGAGGTATTGTGAGGGGAGGGTGAGGTAGTGTGAGTGCAGGGTGAGGTACTGTGAGTGGAGGGTGAGGTGTTGTGAGAGGAGGGTGAGGTATTGTGGGTGGAGGGGTGAGGTATTGTGAGAGGAGGGTGAGGTACTGTGAGGGGAGGGTGAGGTACTGTGAGGGGAGGGTGAGGTATTGTGAGGGGAGGGTGAGGTATTGTGAGTGCAGGGTGAGGTTCTGTGAGTAGAGGGTGAGGTACTGAGAGTGGAGGGTGAGGTACTGTGAGTGGAGGGTGAGGTACTGAGAGTGGAGGGTGAGGTACTGTGAGTGGAGGGTGAGGTACTGAGAGTGGAGGGTGAGGTACTGAGAGTGGAGGGTGAGGTACTGAGAGTGGAGGGTGAGGTACTGAGAGTGGAGGGTGAGGTACTGAGAGTGGAGGGTGAGGTACTGAGAGTGGAGGGTGAGGTACTGTGAGTGGAGGGTGAGGTACTGAGAGTGGAGGGTGAGGTACTGAGAGTGGAGGGTGAGGTTGCCAAAAAGAGAGGGAATACAGGAAACACGACTCACATACTGCAAACGATATGACAGAAAATGACAATTGGAGCCAATGGAGGTGCCATAGACACACAGAACACTGAACAACAGGGGGGGGGGGAGGCCGCGGGTGTTCAACACTCTCCCACAGCAGGGGGGGCCGCGGGTGTTCAACACTCTCCCACAGCAATATCAGAAATAGTGCCGGGACAAAAGTGGACGAGCTGAAGAAACCATTAAACGAGTTGTTGCTGGAAGTGCCGGATCAAGCGGGGCTGTAGTGGATAAGTGGGCTCAGCGGGCCGCTCACACCAACAGCCTGTTGGATCAAGTTATTACATGTCAAGCTTGCCCGCCGGTCGAGCTCTGAGAGTACTCCAGAAGCGACTCCAGGTACACTTTACCTAGAGTACACCTCGAGTGCAGCTACACCACACCCCAGGAGGGTATACACGGTGACGAAGGTATACAGAATAATGGGTGTTGTGTGGAGCTGAGAGTGGAGGATACAGCGTCCTGGGTGATGAGTCTTGGGTGACTTAAGGGTAATCTTCATGAGTCGGGTGATGGGTGTGAGGTGGGTGATGGGTGTGAGGTGGGTGATGGGTGAGAGGTGGGTGATGGGTGTGTGGTGGGTGATGGTTGAGAGGTGGGTGATGGGTGGGTCATGGGTGTGTGGCGGCTGATGAGTGAGAGATGGGTGATGGGTGAGAGGTGGGTGCAGGGAGCCACGTCAACACGCTGGTGAAGGAGCCATCCACGGCCCCAGTGCCTCAGGTCCAGTGTCACTGTCCGTTGGGGGGCAGTGACCTGGCACTGCTCAGGTCGCTCAGCACAGTGCCAGGCCACTCTCTCTTTAATACTGCTTGACAACATATTGACAGAAATAGATGGAGAGAGCCAGTGAAAGTGAAGAAGAGCGAATGAGAGTGAGGAAGTGAATGAGAGAGTAGAGAGGTAGAGAGAGTGAGTGTAGATAAAGTATTAGTGAGAATCAAAGCCCCCCCCCCAGGGAGGATAAGACATGAGAAGTCATGGTGGGTCATCGTCCGCTATCCTCACATGTGGTAAAAAACAGCCTCCAGCACCACTGTTCTGGCGTCTTGTAAGGCGGAGGACCACACTCACCCCCACACACACACTACCTGGGACGACCACCACCACTCTCTCCAGCCCCACCCACCACCACACACCCTCAAGGCAGCGTCTGGGATCCTCTCGGACGCAGGTTCGAATCTTCGTCACGGCCCTTGTGGATTTGTTCATTTAACCCCCACCCACCCACACACACAGCCCCTCAACCCCCACCCACCCAGACACACAATGAATTACGCACACACACAAACACACTGAATGACACTCGCGAATACACAGAAGGCCCTCGAGAAACTAAGAAATGGCTGCTTGATTACAATCAAATAAATGCAAAGTGATGTAATGAAGGACGGGAGTGAGAAGTTCGTAAGGACAACACAAGATGATGGGAAGAAATACACCGAGAGCAGACATCACCCGAAGACTGTCCACTGAAGACCTTATTAACACCGTAACATCAGCAGCGTATGAAAAACTGGTGGATATTAATGTGGCCTTTCACCATACTTTGTTATGCTGGAGCTGGAACATGCAGCCCCCGTTGGCGAATCATCACCATAAAAAAATTATAGAATCCAAATTCGGAAAATCAAGAGAGAATAGTGCTCCCCATGCGGGCGTATATATTTTACGAGGAGACATGATCACGACATCAAATATTCTAAGAGCATTGACAAAGTGGATAAAACCGACATGTTTAGCGTTGATGACGGTATAGAGAGAACATGTAAGCTCAAACTAGAACCTCAGACGAGCCATAGAGATGTGAGGAAATACTTCAGCGTGCGAGTTTAGTGAGCAAGTGGAATGAACGGGAGGAGAAGGCTAACTATAGACAGTCTCAAAATAATAATAATAATAATAATAATTTTTATTTAGGCAAAGGTACATACATAAAGAGATTTTACAAAGTTTGTTGGCTTTATAGATAAGAGCTAGTACATACAATGCCTAAAGCCACTATTACGCAAAGCGTTTCGGGCAGAAGGTAGTGTCTAGGAGCTGACGCTCGACCTGTAATATTTACAAGTACACATAGGTGAG